TGGTGAACCACTAAGGGACCCAGTTCCAACGAGCAAACCTGCTGTTGAACTTTCAGCCAGAGGCAGGGATGAACCAGTGCTTCGAAACCTACCTGAGGTAAAACCAATAACTCCTCTCTTAGGAGTGAGTAGTACTGACATACCACTGCAGGAAGCTAGCACTTCTAGCACATCTGCAGCAGGAGAAGGACTGGGACATCTAGTCTCTGGAGTAGGTGGACCCCATCTAGTGAAAAAGGCCTTGTCTGGATGCACTATGCGGAAACTAAAAAAGGCAAGAGATGGGGCAAGCAAAGCAGGAACTGGGGGAAGTCAGCAACCAGGAAATGTAGACTCACCCAAGCAGGGAGAAACCCCGACCGGGACCTTTAAGAGGCCAAGGTCGGAGGGCAGTACCCCTACAGAATTGGCCAGAGCTCTGAAAAGGCCCAGGGACTCTAAGGGATCAGGGACTTACAAGGAGGCTCTGGCCAATATAAAGGTAGCTATCTTCAAGGAAACGTATCCTGAAGACAAGCTAACAGAGGGAGACCAGGACTCCATTCTGGAGGAACTGGGACAGGCATTATGTAGGACTCCTTTGGGAGAACTACCACATCTGAAACCATACAGACTGGAGGGAGGTGCATTACTATATACATGTGCCGACCAACAGTCTGGACAGTGGCTCATGAGAACCATAGATAATCACAGATTAAAATCAGGGGCTAGGTTGAAGATTACTGACACCAAAAACCTACCCAAACCTGTGAAGATAGCTATCAGGACAAAGGACAAAGTTGTCCAAAATCCTGATGAGCTGCTGAAATGGATCGGGAATCTTAATCCAGGACTCTATACTGAGAGTTGGAGAATACTGGACAGGAAATCTGAACCGAAAGGGCAGAGACTGATACTCCTTATAGATCGGGATTCCTTATCTGTTATCAAGGAAACTGGATATAGAGTATACACAGGACTCTCACAGGGAACTGTTAGGGTCCTGCAACATCCTGAGGAGCAGTGGCAAAAAGAAATGGCTGTGCCCAGTTCAATACCCTCGGGATCAGCCTCTGAGGGGGAGGGGGATGATGTACCCAGTCCCTCAGTTGACCGGAAGAGAGGATGTGATGAGAAGGAGACAATCCCTCCTCTCGTCAACCCGATCTTACCAGATCAGGGACCTCCCTTGGAGGAAACCAGGTCTGATAAATGAAAATGGGGCTGTGGAAGAAGGCATGGAGGAAGACACCTTTCCCAGCATTACAGAATGAACACAAAACACACATACATACGTACATGACATATACACACAACATACAATTCATTCAAATTAACCTACACCACTGCAAGGCTGCTACAGCAATTTTATGTCGACAACTTGCAGAGGGAAAAGTAGAAGTAGCACTTATTCAGGAACCTTGGATATACAGGGGCCAAATAAGAGGCTTAAAGAATTCAGAGGGAACAGTTTATTCTGTCATACCTGGAGATAATGTGAGATCATGCATATATGTTAATCATCATATTAATGTTTACCCTTGTTGGAGTTTTGTTCTAGAGACACAACAATGGTGAGGATGACATACACATTGGGTGGAGGCTGTGAGGAGCTCATCATCACTTCAGCCTACCTTCCATATGACTTGGATGAACCACCACTTTCCAAAGTGAGGGACATCATTGAATATTGCCATCTTAGGAAAATGCAGCTCATCAATGGGTGTGACACCAATGCACACATTGTGGGGAAGCACTGACATCAACCCAAGAGAAGAATGCCTCATGGAATATTTGGTGAGTTCAAACCTTAATATTCTACACCAAGGTAACGAGCCTACCTTTGTCATTTGCAATGGGCAGGAGGTTATTGACTTGACACTAGGGACCAATAAAATAGGAAACCTGATAAGCAATTGGCATGTATCTGATGAGCCGTCCCTATAGAATCACAGATATATATTCTTTCAAATAAGGAACATTAGAGTAGATCAAGCTAATTATAGGAATCCTAAGAGAACCAATTGGGAGTCTTACAAAGATGATCTAAAGGTAAATCTGGAGACCATCTTGCGAAATACATACATAATAAAGGATGTGGATCGGTCCGTTGACCAGTTGCAATGGGCTATTATCTCATCCTTTAATCTGAATTGTCTGGCTAAGACCACTCGTGGACCAAGGAGAGCACCTTGGTGGAGTAAACAGCTGAGTGGGCTTAGAACCAAAATGAGAAGGTTGTTTAATACAGCTAAAAGAACAGGGCAGTGGGACATCTACAAGGAAGCCCTTACCTGTTACAACAAAGAAATAAGGAAAGCCAAGCGATCCTCATGGAGGAGGCACTGCCAGGAGATCAATGATGTACCAGGCTGTGCCAGACGCATGAGAATCATGGCAAAACAGGTGACCAATAAGACCAGCACGATTAAGCTGCCTAACAGCCAGTGTACTCAAACAGGAAGGGAGACATTGAACAAACTATCCAGGGTTCACTTTCCTGATTCAAAATTGATAATTTGGACGATGGACAGGGTCAGCAAAACCTGGGCACTTGCCAAAGCAAGACGAAGAGGGCAGACTAGAACCTGGTCAAAGTCATAATTAACCAATCAAAAATCAGATGGGCACTGAATACCTTTAGACCATTTAAGTCAGCAGGAACAGATTGAATTGAATCGGCACTTTTGCAGCAAGGGGCAGAACTCTTAGGTCCACACCTATGATGCATATATATAGGCAGCATGGCATATGGTTTTATCCCCATGGCATGGAGGCAAGTTAAGGTGATGTTTATCCCAAAGCCCGTGAAACCTGATTACACCAAGGCTAAGGCCTATCGTCCTATCAGCCTGTTGTCTTTCCTTTTGAAAACAATGGAAGAAATAGTGGATAGGTATATCAGGGATGGGACGTTGAGGACATATCCTCTACACCGAAACCAGCATGCCTACCAAACACGTAAATCTACCGAAACCGCACCACACAATGTGGTAACATGCATAGAAAGTGCAATTGAACATAAGGATATTGCCTCAGGAGCATTCCTTGATATAGAGGGAGCTTTCAATAGAACCTCATTTGATATAATCAAACAGGCTGCTGGAAGGCATGGCATAGAGCCTGCAATATGCAGGTGGATCAATGCTATGCTGGAAAGCAGAACCATAACTGCTACATTATCGGGAGAAACCCTGGGGGTGTCCATGGCTAGGGAATGTCCGCAGAGGGGCGTACTCTTGCCTCTGCTGTGGAGTCTGGTCATCGACGATCTCCTGTGGGGACTTAATGATGATGGGTATTAGACAGTGGGATATGCTGATGATATAGCAATCCTCATAAAAGGAAAATTCCTTTTGACAGTATCAGAGAGTCTTCAAACAGCTCTGTACCCGGTGAACGATGGTGTGAAAGAACAGGTCTTTCCATCAATCCTAATAAGACGGTAATTATACCGTGCAGTGCAGTGACCAATGGAAACCTAAATCTGATAGTTTCGGACATGCATATGTAACTCAGGACAAAAGAACCCATATTAAAAATGGGGTCTGACAAAATGATGCTGAGACATGTATATGAAAAACCATTCAGTCAGATTTCCTGACAGGAGTGAATGGGAAGACGGGTTTGGGCCCAATAGAAAAGGGGGACTGATCTGGTACACAGATGGTTCCAAGATAAATAAGGGCACTGGAGCTGGTGTGTACTGCTATGGCACGAGGCGGAAACTTAGTTTCAGCCTTGGGCAGTACACGACAGTATTCCAGGCAGAAGTATATGCCATTAAGGCATGTATTATGGAGAATTAAATAGGAACTACAGAAATAGGAACATCCACGTTCTATCTGACAGCCAAGCTGCGCTTAAAGCGCTTGACAAACACCAGATCAACTCAAAATTGAAAGAAAATGAAACAGCCACACATATCCTGTGAGAATGTGAGGCCTTAGCTTATTTAAGATTACATCACTTGGGTCAATACTTTATGGAACCAAGTGACTATTTCAATGCCTCCACGTACAAAATCCTGAGCTTCATTTTAAGCGCAGGATTGCTGAGGGGATAATCAAAAGGGGAAGCACAATAGATCACTGTAGGTCACGGTGCAAGGGCCGAGAAGGCCCACCCGTTATACAATCATTCATTCATTCATTCATACCATGCGCTATTTACAGTTTCACTGTACAGAGGTATTCTACTCATTGACAGTCTTAGTAGAAGCTGCATATTTCTTAAATACTTCCACAATGCAGAATTCCAGATTCTACATAAAATGGAAATAGAGATATTCCAGCCTCAGAAATTTGTTCAGCCATCATATTAGTATCACAGGTAGCAGGTTATCAACTTCCTCTTACTTCCCTTCACTTAAATACTGGCAAATAAATAAATACACGTGTGCCATGACAAAATGGAACGCGGTAGCGTAGTTGGTTGAGGGGCTATGCTACCAGCCGGAAGGTCACGGGTTCGAGTCACAATGAGGTCATTGAATTTTTTTCAATTGACCTAATCTTTCCAGCCACCCCATGGCCCTGGGGTTCACTCAGTCTCTAACAGAAATGAGTACCAGGAATTAATTAAATAATTTTCCTGAGGAGTAAAGCGCGGCCGGCGCGTAAGGCTAACAATCTTACAGCCATCTTTTAACCGACTGTCTAGATCAGTGGTTCTCAACCTTTGTCAGACTGCAGCCCAGTAAATTTATTTTTCTGTAAGATGAGGGCCCAGTACGGGGCCACAGCCTGGCGGTTGAGAAACACTGGTCTAGATAATGTGGGACCCTCAACGTCTGACAACCTTATGGGCCTTCATGATCTGGTACAGGGATAGCTTTACTTTTTAATTTTATGCCATGACATAAACAATTTAAATGTTTTAGTGAATATTAAAAACAATAATATGTCTAAATCAAAAGTGAAAATAGGATGGTTAAAATGAATTGTTAAATAAATTATATGCATGACAAACATGAGCAAAAACTTCAGGTCACATTACCACTTTTGGGAACGAAGCTATTGCTAACTCCAGGGATTCACATTAATTGCTACCTTGAGGACTGCCGGTCTGTGCAAGAAAACTTCAGCAGGAAAATCTCGCAACATCACATCTGTGAAGAACTGACAAGTGTGAAGAATGAGAGGCAGGTCTGTAGTGCTGGCAAGTGACTCCTCAACAGCCAGTAGCACGTGACGATCTGTCGCCACAAGCGGCTGCCAAGGGAAAACCAGGCACTGGAAGCAATCTGGTCCCTGTGAATACACTGCATGTCTTGCTGCAGGCACTGTATCTTCACTGCTGAAGTAGCCATGAAGGGGCTGATTTAGCACTTCAGTTGGACTTCATTACAGACATGCAACACAAACATGCCAAAAAATTAACACAAATCATAAAACAGCCCAAGAGAGAGATGAATTTCGTTTCTTTTAAATTCCTCAATGTAATTAAAAAGAATGTATGTCCCTTTGTTAGTCAGCAGTCATACATGTTTTTGAATAATAAAACCTAATACGAGTATGTACTAAGTTTAACCTTTAACGTCAGAAGTGCCCCGTTCAGGCCAGTGATGAGTAAGGTCGTCATGGCCAAAGTACCCCATTTTGGCCAGTCGGGCATTTCAACTCCGCTAGTGGAAGCGCGCACACACACCACTGGTAGAAGTGCATGCACAATCCTAAATATTTATTTTTAAATGTAGTAATTACCAGACCAACTTGTGTAAAACCCTAATAGAGGAATTAAAATGATACCTAAGTGAACAACAGCAAAAAATATATACATATGAGTTATGCCCAAACTCATCCACAAGCCAGTACTTTTATTGCAGATTCTGCAGATTAATGAGTTAAAAATATATAGTAAAATTCGAAGTACATACCTTTTTTGTTGTTATCTGCTTGCTGTATATCTAGGCTGAAATGAAACTATAGTATTTGATTTCACTATGAACACACAGAAAACAGATCGCACTCTGTATCTCAGCCATGATGCAGCTGTCTGTTCATGCCCATAGAAAGGGCAATAATCTTTTGCAGCTATAATGGAAGGTCTGAGCACTGAAGAAGGGACCCCTCTAGCTATTTCTTGAATAACCATGCTTTCATTCTTCTGTCATTTAGTCAAAAGATTCGAAAATCTGAAGAGTGTAACAAAGATGTAAGGTTTTCCAGCAGAGAACCAAACGATTTTATTGCTTCCATTTGTTTTATGGCACCATGGACTGCTAAAATTTGACAAGTGTTACAAACAGGAACAAATTTATAATGCAGAATAACTCTGTGAAGAACTGGGACACCATTTTTCAGTACGCATCAAAATTAAAAGAAAAAATTGATAAGAGAATAAAAATTTGTACAAAATTTTTCAAATCTTTCATTGTAATATGTGACACTATGTTCTTTGCTGATACAAAGTTAATTCCATTTATCATAAAAATTGTGCTAGACAGCATTTTTAAACACAATGCTTAAAACTGTTTAAGCGCCCTAACATGAACGGACATTTAAACGCAGAGTAGCAACGTGCATTTAAATACGCACCAGCAGCGGGCATTTAAATAAACTCTGGCCAGCTCAAACTTACCACCATTTCAAAAGCCTGGCATTTAAAGGTTAATGTCACTCACTCTAGGATAGTTAAGAAGGTAATATTTGTATTTACTTAAAAGCTGAGTAGGATATATATGTGTGAGTGCATGGATCTGCGTGTGTATAGGGGGCATTCACATAACATGGAGGTCTATTTGCACTTTCACCAGCACTTGCTTTCATAACAGTCCCCCTGCAGAATGCACTTAATTTTGCTCATCAAAAGGCCCTGGTAGTGTCTTGTGGACAATTCATATAAAAAAGGTAAGGTAAAGCTGTCTCTATGCTTAACTAATTAAGCACTATGCCATGAAGGTGTATGGGGATGTGGTTGTATAGATCAACATCTCCTTGACCTCAGCACTAGCTGGAGGTGAGTGGCCAGCTTCACATGCCAGCTGCTTGACACCCAAGGAAAGAGCCCCTAGAACCATTGTATAGGAGGCTGGGTGGATCCCAGAGCTGGTCTGGATGATGTGGAGCAGAGAAAATTTTTGATCCTAATGGGACTTCAATTCCATCCCCTCAGTCATCCAGCCATAGCACAGTCACTATACTGACTGTGCTCCTGGATAATTCATGATTAAAAAAGAAGAAAAGCAACTGTCAGATGGAGTAATTTATGTGTCACACATCGCAGGATTAATGTAAGAAAATCAAACGACACTTTTAAGGGGCTAAAGTCAGGACAAGTGCAACATTCAGAAACAAATTTGAAGTGAAGTATAATGATTTTAATCTCACTTCTAAAGTTCAACTTCCATTGCATTTAACACCAACACTAACTGTTACACTGCTGTTATCAAATGTTCCGATTTACACACCTTGACTCCAGACCTTCGACTTGTTGTTCTTCCTCAACTTGAACTTCTATAGGTGTAGCGGTTGATCCCACACTTCCTTGGTTTGGTTCTTGCCTGTCACAGGACAGAGAGTTGTTATCTTGTGTTTCAGTCAGATATGAATCAAGTTCACTTCTGTCTACTGCATTCACAATTTCATCAATCAAACACAGAAGCTTGGGTTCAACCCTGGTACGAACTGCATCAAGAGCTCTGTAACCTCCCAGAGCTTTTATGTGCATATTTAATGTTCCATCCACATCAGCCTGGAAAGAAAATGGAATGTTGGATTAATTTTGATTACCACACCATGCAGACAGATACAATCTTCTGGAGGCACACGCTCCCTCCATCTTCAGGCTTGAAGTGTGCAGGTTCAGGAACTGGTTTGCTTACTGAGACAGGTTATTTATTTAATTTCAACACAGTTCTGGATCATGTAAGCTACTGGACCCTCATACTTCAGTCCTCTAGGTTGTGACACTAAGTGTCTGGTACACAGGTATCAGGGTTTCAGAGCTGCCATTTTCTACCCTAAGGATTACAGAGTCTTTTTTTTAATTTGCTTAGTGGGGGTTGAGTCCAACTGGGTCCACTCAGCACGGCAGCCACTGATTGGCCTCTTGTAGCCTGCCCCAGGTGATTATGATGGAGAATTTGGTGGAATGAAGTACTCGGAGAAAACCCGCCCCAGCGCCACTATGTCCACCAGAAATCCCACTTGACCAGACCCGGGATCGAACCTGGGCCGCCATGGTGGGAAGTCAGCAACTGACCACTCTAGCTCTGGCACACTACAGTGTGATACTCAGAACATCAGAATATCGTAGTATGTAAACCTGTTGCTGGGGCAACAACCATGAGATAAGCAAATATAGAAGAGCAGTTGCTGAGCAATGGCTTCACAAACAAACATGTTCCCATGAAAACAACTGAACTATAACACTGAGGAACGTTTTCTGTGCAGTCCGTGCTGAGATGTTATAAGCTGGACAAGATGGGAGCTGAAGTTTCGTCAGTCAGTCAGTGAAGGAAGAGAAGAGTAGAAGGTTCATGTGAGATGGCTGCCAGCCTGGGAGTTAAACAGTCAGAGCAACAAGTCACTTGAGGGATATTCGCCAGCCAGTAAGGATGTAAGAAGAGAACATTGTTAGGATCCTTTACCAGGAAACAACTGGTGAAGACTTTATGTGTGCTGCAGTTACAGTAATCTTCAGAGTGCGTAAAACAGTGAGCCTATTATGGTTATTTGTAGTTATGAGTTGTGTGTATAAGTGTTCAATAAATTCACCCACCAATCCAAACCCCATCTATAGTCACTCATACATATGATAATATGAATCTTGATTGTCATGAAAACCTCCAGTACCACACTGGAGCATCAACAATTGAAAGACATTGATACTATCAAATGAAATCCATAAATTCAAATTTTCAGAGCCATAACCAAACAGCCATTTTATAAGTCAGCATCAAATGCCCAACATTTGGACTAATAAGAGGCCCTACTCGCGGCCACTGTAAACCCTCTGAAGCCTGAAGCTCATCTAGCTAACATTTTAATATTCAGTTCCTACCTCACAGAAAACATACTGCCTCTCCATAACAAAGATTAAGTAGTTATTGCTGTTTAGGTAAATAATACCTGTTTACTGTAAGAATCACATGAAATACATAAATACACTGTGTATATAAAACACAGACTTTGTAATGCTACAAAAAGTGGTACATACTGTTACTGCTGTGCTTTAAATGGTTATAACATTTGTATATCAATCAGACATTGCCTCATAACTGATGCAGTTCAGAAAGTGTTGTTAAATTCACCAAGAAACAAAAGCAACGTCACCTGTCCTTCAGGGTAGCCTGCACAGGAAACAGTCAGATGGCACTCATAACAGGTTGCATGACCCACATAACACTGATGCAAAACCTTCGGCCTAGATCAGACAGGCTGCTGCTAATCAATATGACTCTTTCAGTATCATCAAACACAGAAATATCATTCTTCCATATAGCTATTCTTTCAACTGTGACTGAGATGCAGCAGCCATTTCAGAGTTTCTCTCCATCTCAGCTACACTGACCTTGACCAGTGTATCTGTCCACCACCACGGCTTAAAATCTTAACATCATTCTTACCTTTACTAGTCGCAGGATGAGGTTTAATACTTTTTCTGCTTCAGGGAATGTTTCAAAACTAAACCAATCAAGTAGTTTCACAACAAAATCCTTACGATCTATAAGTTCTTTCTCAGAAATAAATCCATATTCAAGCTTTGACATAACATTGTTTAGAGCACGTAGCCTGATCTCCTCGAGCCTATGTCCTGTAACAAGATATATAACTTTTAATGACTAAATCTACAGCCAAGTTTATTATAAAATATTAGTCCACTCACGCCTACATTTGTTGCTCTAAAATATAAGCTGGCTTGGTCAAGCCAAAGAATCTAACCAGAATGCAACAATCACTTCAACAAAAAAGTGTGTTGAATGACAAACTGCATGCACAAAACAATAAAAAATCATCATACATTGCTGTGACCCATTCAATGTTTTACAGACTTTAGTTGTAAATCTCTAATTACACAACAATAGAAGGTGGACTTCTAATTAACTAGTTTCTGGCACATGCAGGATCTTGGTAACAATTAAATGATATTCGGAAATAGACACCTGTTCAAACAGTCCAATGTTTATAATATACATGTGGGGAGGGCATTCACTGAGGAAATCTACAAGCAAGCTGTGGAAAGGCTAACAATGAAAGTAAATGCTGGTGAATGTGCAAATAGTCCTCCATGTACTTTGAATCCTCCTCATGCCCTACTCAACTTTAAGTAAATACACAAACTCCACCCTCTTAACCGGCAAATGAATGACGTTACAATTTGAATATACACAAATTACAATCTGTCACTTCTGAAATCAAACATAAGTTTATATGTTATCCAAAGTAAACATGACCTATTCTATTTATACTTCAAATATAGCATGCAAGTACTCGACGAAACTGCCTCTCTTGATCTCTGGCACGATGAGACAGGGTAGAACATTTTCTAACGCTGAGCTTGCACCACAAGAATCACAAAACTTAAAATTAAATAAACTCACCTAATTTCTGAATCTGAATCGCCGATAAAACAGGGCCTGTCACAGTTCTATCCATTTCTTCAAGTATGTCTAATTAAATAATATCTGCAAATATATGACCTTATATGACTATCTCAATTCTAAATACCGCCATTCTTGAAGCACAATTAATATGATGTTGACACAGACATTCTTCAAATATCCCTCCTACAAAAGCTAACAGCAACAGAATTCCCAGAATAAATCATTTCTTAACTTGTTAAATAGAATTTCATTTTTACACGCATAAACAGTAAAACAGAAAATCTTAAATCAGAGTTATTTCTAAAAATGTAGGGGAAGATAATTTTCGAAATATCATCACTATATTGATAATTGGTCTCGGAGAAATATTTGATGAAGGAAAATTTTACTCTATTGAAGGAATTTCGCGGTTGGTATGAGGGAAAATTGGACCCAGAAACAATGCAAACATGACAGGAAGGCGTATTAAAATTTTAGGGTTATAGGATGAAAACAATTTGTTTGAAAGATGGAACATAAATCCGGAGGACCTTTAATTACAAAAAATATATTACACGCAGGAACTAAATCGGTATCGTTTACAACAGGGACCAAGGTAGGCTGTGGTAGATTGCATACTAAACGAGCAAATAAAATAGACAAGATAGGTTACAGGGAAGAGTAAACCAAGATCTGGTTACATAGATCCTTCATAACCATACTCCAGAAATATGAAACGTGTAATACAAATACATCGCTTGTTTGTATATAAGTACGAACGTTGCAACAGCTTCTTGTAATACAGAATTACAGCAAAGTAATTCTATCAGAGAAAGACCCCCTCCACCTATCATTTATTGTAATTAATTTCTGATCAAGATCGATTCTTCTACGGAGTAGGGGTAAGATAGGAGATACTACTTAACTCTAGGGTAAAGTGGTATAGCAAGTGTCACGTAACTTCGAACAAGGCCAAGAGTAACCTTGAATGTGCAGAAGAAAAATTTCAGACAAGGGGGTGGGTTGCGGGGAATGCGTGGCCTTGTTCGAAGTTACGTGACACCGTCAATATTGTATAGTGATTTAAACATTTGGTTGTAAGAGGGAGAGTACTCAATAGCCTAGTTTCAGTATAGTAGACTCCTTTCTTATGCTTACTGTGGATTATGTATGGCACATGGATGTATATCTGTATCTTGTACTTGTATTGAGTGTGTGTGAATTGGCTTGAAATTGTTTCATGTTGTCGACACCAGATAATAAGGGCAAGAAAGAATTTGCCAGCCAGTGGAAAATATAACATTTCTCAAATAATTCTCAAAGAGAGATTGTTATTTTAATGCTTGTCATTACTGTAATGATTTTCTGTTGTATGTAAAATTGTGTTTTGATGTCCATTGAATCCCCCCCAACATTATTCCATATGATGTAGTGGAATGGAAATAACCTAAGTAAACTAATTTTAAAGTTTCTGTTCACATGACTGATTTTCATAGTAATGCATTCTGAACTTAGCTTGCAGATAATATATATTCAATATGTGTTCTCCAGTTTAAGTTACTATCAGCATGAAGGCTCTTTGTTTCTGCGTATTCAGTTTTCTATCATCATGCCCTGTAATTTGAGTAATACAGGTTTTGCTGTTGGTACAAAATTGCATGAAATTTGTTTCAAGTTTATTGTCTTTAAATGCCTTTTCCAGGCTAGAAAAGACATCATTCATACAACTTTGAAAAATAATAATACTAGTGTCACCAGTGAAAAGCGTGGGTAAAAAAGGTAAAGTTGTCCCTGTGGTTAATTGAGAATCACACCATGAAGACATACGGTGGAGTGGAGATATAGCTCCACCATTCTTGACCTCAGCACCAGATGGATGTGAGTGGTCAGCTTCATGCCCTGGCCACTTCACCCCTTCGAAAGAGCCCTTGGTACTCATTAGATAGGACACAGGGTGGGCACCAGAGCCTGTCTGGATGCTGTGGAGAAGAGAAAAATCTAACCCCTGCTAGGAGTCAAACCCCAGCCACACAGCTCATAGCCTATCACTATACCGACTGAGCCATTGCAGCTGTTAATAAAGAGCGTGGGTTTAGACTGAAAGTTGATGTTTGCATGCAGACTCTTGATATATATGAGAAAAAAAACAGAGGATTAAATGTTGAATCTTGAGGAACTCCCATGTTTTATAATGCCCATTGTGAGTAGGTTCTATAATTTGTTTTTGCTGATTTGATTTGTACTTCTTGCTCCCTGTTGTGAAGGCATGACTTAAGCCACCATCCAGCTATATCATGAATTCCACATGAACTTAATTTTGACAGTGGTATTTCATGATTTACACTATCAAATGCTTTATCAAGGTCACACAATATTCCACAAACATGCATTTTATTATTAAAAGCCAATAAGATGTAATTTGTCAAACTGCACACTTTATTCAGAGGAAGATTTTTTTCTAAATCCAAACTGTTCATCTGCAAGGGAGTTGTTGAAGTTTAAGATGTCACTTTCGCAGACATTTTAGAAAATACTGTCAGTAATGAAATTGGTCTGTACTTGGATATGCAAGATTTTTAATGTTTTTTATACAATGGTTTCACATTTGAATATTGTAAGTCATTCTGTGAAAGCCATTCACTGATTTCAGAGATAACTTACAGGGATCTTAATACAGTATGCACAGGTTTTGAATAATTTCTGTTATCAAAACCAAATTATAAATTTCTTTATTTGAAAGAATTTATTATATTTTTAATTTAATTTGGTGTTGTAGGCAAAAGATTTATATTTTGGGAGCTTGCTTCTAGCACGTACTTTCTTGCTTCTTCTGTTGTTTTAGTGTAGTTTATAGAATTAAGAAGCAATTATTGAAAAACTTAAGGTCTTCAACTTTGCCCATTCTAATGTTCACAAAAACAGTGTTTGACCTCTTGTGTGTGGACATTTCACCATCATATGCAGGGGCAAGGAACAACATAACAAATATAAACAAATTATAACACAAAGAAAGGCCTTACAAACAGAAGCAATACACGAACGCCAAGCCACAATATAGAACTGTATCATTTGGACAAGTGGATGATGTCCCTAATACAGGTGCAAGAATTACATAACTTTAAGAAATTTCAAACCAAAATTAAATTAGAAAGTGACATCAGTTAATGGAAATAAACATTATGTGTACATCAAGTAAATTAAACAAGAAATATCACATTTTCAAAGTATGTAAATAAGTGAACATTTTGTACATTTTATACTGTGTGACAGTTTTGGCTTAGAACACCTGATGATGTCATAAGGAGGAAATAAAAGTGAAAATACTTGCATTAAGGACAGAATGTATGTGTTTTTAAAGGTACTTTCCTTACTTTTGGGGGGCACACGGTAGCATAGTGGGTTGAGGCACTATGCTACAAGCCAGAAGGTCGCGGCTTCAAGTCCCAATGAGGTCATTGAATTCTCTTCAATTGACCTAATCCTTCCGGCCGCACTATGGCTCTGGAGTCAACTCAACCTCTAACAGAAATGAGTACCAGGAATATTGTTGGGGGTAAAGGGTGCCCAGTGCATAGGGCTGACAACCTTGCCACCATCTATGAGCCAATTGTCTAGAAAATGTGGGAACCTCAACATCTCATAACCCTATGGGCCTCCACGGCCCACTTACAGGGATACCTTTACTTTATTTCCTTATTTTGATAGAGGTAAAGTAGGGTTATGCCGGTCATGGTAGCTGAGCGGTCTAAGGCATGTACTGTCTTCACTCGCTTGGAAACCAGGATCGTGGGTTCGAATCCTACTCAGGGCATGGATGTTTAGTTTGTGTGTGTGCTTTTTTCTGTGTTTGTGTACAGGTAGAGGCCTTGCGACAAGCTGATCGCCTGCCCAAGGAGTCCTACCGTATGTCTAAGATCTAGAAAAACCGAAGTGAACGGAGAAGTTCTGGAGGTAGGCCTAGGACCACTGGGGCTGTAGTGTCAAGGGGGAAAAAAAAAGTAGGGTTATGACATACCTTGCTGTTTGTGTGTGCATCCCATTACTTCCAAATCCTTTGCGATTCATTATATACTAATCATCATGTGATTCGTTTTGTAATCCAAACTGCTTATTTCATTAAATAAAATATACACTACATAGCAGTTTTCAGATCAGGGGCCCTTTGTTGAAAGACAACACCAAATAGTTGATGCTGGCACTGAACCCTTCAACAAGTGCCGTTAACAGTAGTGGTCATCTTTATTTTATGTGCATTGACATTTTCCATTGTAACATAGTGTGACATTATCTTATTAAAATTATGGATGCCTATATGTACTTATAAGTCAAATGTTATATATTCCACGTATTTCTTTTAGGTATATTTCCATTTTCAAACAAGGAAATGTGATAGAGAACAAACCATTGTGGATGACAGCCGAAAATTTGGAAAGCCAATGGAACTGGTTCTTGGTAAAAATTTCAAGTTTGAAGTTTGGGAAACAGTAGTGCAAATGATGGCTCTAAATGAAGTTGCCAATTTTACAGTAGACAAAAGTGTAAGTGTCATGAGATATATTTTTCTGAGAATGTAAATCTAATGATGTGTAGCTGCATCAAGAATATGGTGAATGATCAGTAGGGACTGGATGTTTATGCCCTAATATTCCCTTAAATATGTATGCATTTATGCATGTAAAACTTCCAAAATATGCACATAAAAAGTTCATACCAAATATTGGAATCAATTTTACATGATTTTAAGACCAACAAATCAACATTTAAGTTAGTTTTATGTAATCACTGAATGATTCACTTGCAATGAAAAGCTATGCTTACATACAAATCATGCAACAAAGCCAATATTTTTTTCATTACAGGTTAAAAAAGCAATAGTACCCACATTTAACTCTCCCAGCTTTCAACATCTCTTTTGTTGCAGTTCACACTTATTAAATGTTTAAGGTTTTCCATAGTTAGTCGCCTCCTATTGTCTTGTAAGATGTACTTATAGCAAGAAACACTGCTTTCCACCTCACAGGAACTTAAGGGTGCATGTACAACCAGTGATTGAAGTTAGCTCTTTCTAATGGACCCAACTGAGTGGGTGTCTTCACCCCTGCCCCCTCAGTTGACAGAAACAGATCCAGTTTCGGAAATGTCATGTTTTCTAGTTCTTAGAATATTGGATGACGGAAGAAGTCCAAAAGCCTAATAAACAGAGATCTTCAAAAATATGCTTATTCATAAAACAGGCAAAATATGCATTTATATGCACCATCAAACCATGTCTAAAATGAATTTATATATATCCAAATGAGCATACACTCTGGTTACAAGAAAGAAATATGCATTTGCATTAAAATCCAGTCCCTAATGACCACAGATCTTGTGCAGAGTGGACCAGATACATTTGCAAGAACATCGGCCTAGCCAAGGTCCCAAACATTTATGTAAAAATTATTGTCTTTTGGGATGTGATGCCATATAGACTGGTTGATGGGTACTATTTCAGAAAAAACCCTGTTGCCTCTTTCTTCTACCCTGAAGATGGAGCCAGCAGGTTTCCCAAGTGTTGGTTGGTACCTGTCTACCAAAATACACAGCCATCTTCCTGCTTACCAAAAAGATTACAGAGTACAGTACCATAAAATTATATTTTGTTTTTAGAATTCTGAAGGAACTGAGGTGTATCATATTCTTTTTCAGTTAGTATCTGGATATCCATTTCTTTCCAAGACTTTGCGTGAAGCAGGAAAACCCAAAGACCAGCGCCGACCGCACTGCTGTGGTGTTATGATGCAGAATGAAGGCACTGGTTATGAAGATTTAAACCAACTGATCAAAGAACCTTGTGATTTGGTATTCAGAATAGGTACTTAATCATGCTATCTCACTTGTAGAATTCTTCAATTTGTAACAACAAAATAAATCACTTGCCATGTTTCATATGGCTGCATTACAGAATTGTTAAAGGTTGAAGCCCCAGAAGATTACCAGAAGGAATCCTGGCAGATGAACGAAGAAGAGAAATTGAAAGCTATTCCTAGTCTACATTCAGAGGGAAATTCTCTTTTCAACAACAAAAACTACAAAGCTGCTTCTGAGAAGTATGCCCTGGCTCTTGGTATGCTGGAGCAACTCATGCTTGTGTAAGAAGACCAATTCAGTCCAATCTTTTGGCACATTTGCAACATCATGAAAATGTACCACCTATCAGCTTCATCATGTCTGTCAGTCTGAATGTAACAGCATGAGAACTGCTGAATGGATTTTCATAAAACTTGAGACTGGGGAAGTTTCACTAAAATTTGACATATTGCAATGTTTGTTAAAATTGGACAACCTCGTGTTTTCTGCATGTATCTTGTGCATAACTCAATGAAGGTTTACTGGATCGAGAAATGTTTCAAATAAAAGTTTTCGAGAAGAATGAAATGCACCTATGTCCAATATACTTTTTCCAGATAGTTAAAAGGAAGACAATGCCAGAATTCAGAATTACTGAGTTTTTGGACTTTTTCCATCATCTGGTATTCTAGAAACTAGAAAAAACATTTCAAAAACTGGATCTGTTCCTGTCCTCATTTGAGGGGTGGGGGACACAACTACCAGAACTGTTATGCTGTCCAGAGTGGTGTAACTTGGAAGGTGTCAGAGGAAAATTAAACATGTAATTAGTTTTGAGCAGCAAAATTATCTGAAATTTTTGCCATCCGTGCTAATGCTTTTTCTCGCTGAGCATGATAAGCCATCTGTATTGTGGTACACTTTCACTTACCTCACTGAACAGAATTGTATGCAAGGTTGAAATTATATGAGCATCTGCAATGATGTCAGGCAGCCATGTCAAGATGGAACAGATTTTCTCGTCAGAAACTGTCAGTTTCTCCATCATCAGAGATTAATGTGACAATGTTCAAAATGGAAATTCATTCCATCTTGACACAGGAAGTTGCCTGGGAACAGTTCATTGCGTTTGCCGACCATGAAAGCTGCAAAAATACTGCACGAGTCAACGTTTCATAAGACAATATACAGCTGAAAGATGCCAGCAGGAACATGCCTTCATGTTTCAGGATTAGTTAGTTAGTTATTGGAGAGGGTGGGTTTCCCCATGCACTGAGACCTGTATTGGTCCATTGTGCTTCCCTCAATGATTTGTACCAGTCTCTATATCCCACCGGTACTGGTGCTTACCATCAGTCCCGCCCAGCCAGCAAGACCGGCTCTACTAGCTGAGAGGTATCTATAATGCTTCCCCCATCTACCAGAGGTATTAGAGACTGCTGTTGGGCAGGAAACGTCCATTAATTTGGCTCAGTGACCTCCTTTGGAGATATGAGGTTCTTTTACGTGCCGTAAAGCTACAACATGGGACCCATGGCTTAAAGTCCCTCCCGGAGGACTTGTTCCCTGAATTTTTCCGCCCTTTAAAAATTCGACGACCTCCGCCAGGTATTTGAACCTGCGTACTACGAGTCATGAGGTGGGAACGTTACCTCTAGACTACGAAGGCCGCTATGTTTGTAAACATAAACAAACACTGACAATTTACATAAGAGTTATAACTTCCCACATAAATTCAGCTGTGTATTTTTCAGAAAGCTGTATCATAAAATTCAAACCAGAATTACCGAGAGTTGTGTTATTCCACTGAAGTAGATAGACTGAAAACTAAGAGAACTGCTTGTTGCCTGCTTCTTGCCTGTCTTAATCTTTGACCCTGACGATGGAGGCAGTGCATTCCTTTGAAACATCAGTGAACTTGTACTGCCTCCTTGACAACATGGTGTCCCATCCCAGAAGACTATACTCTTCGTAGCCAGTGCCATGAAGAGATCAGACATTCAAGCAACTGTGAAGTCAGTGCTTCAAGCCCAATTACTGTTATATTAGTTATATGCACACTTCTGGACAGACACACACTGTGTAGAGAGTACTTACCTCCATTTGCAAGGTAGTGAGCCAATTTTGGAAGTGTGCATATTATATAGGAGTAGGAGTAGCAGGTCATGGAGAAGGAAAGGGTTGGCTACTCAGAGCGTGGGGTTGGTGAAGGGGAGACAAGACACCAAATGAGTCAGTGGGAATAAAAAATTCTGATAAGGGTAACTAAACAGTATTTCCCCTTCGTGTGTAGGGCACTGGTCCCTCTTCCCATCCCTGGTTGTGACTGGTCAATCCTCTTTATGAACAGCTGCCCTCTCCATAAAGATGCATTATCTTTTTCAGTGAAAAACCTGGAGCTGAAGAATGGTTAGCATTGGAGAAGCAGAAAGTACCACTATTGCTTAATTTTTCCCAATGTAAATTGTATGAAAAGGACTACTACACAGTGATAGAACACTGTTCCAGTGTTCTTAAGAGTGATCCTGGTGAGTTACGCAAAACTGAACACTAGGTATATAAATGTTTGTGCCAAGTGTTTGTCAACTGTATGCTGTCTTCTCAAGTTCTTTCCATTTTGAGAACTGAGAATAATAATTTAAATGTCATACAGATCTCAGGGGCCGAGTGGTCTGAAATGCAAATTGCATTCAACAACTCAAATACTGGGACTGTAGGTTCACATCCTGCTCGGGGTATGCACGTATGTCCATCACATATTTTCTGTTTGTATTGTCCTTTGTAGGTGTACTTTAACATCATATTGAAAACCTTTCAGCTTCCATCTTGTTTCATTCTTAAAATATATCCATATCATGTTGTTTTCCTTTTTGGCTTAGTGGGGGGTTGAGTCATGCTGGGTCCACTCAGCACAGTGGCCACTGATTGGCCTATTGTACCTGCCCCAGCTGATTATGATGATGGATAATTTGGTGGAATGAAGATTGGCAGGGGAAACCGAAGTACTCGGAGAAAACCCACCACAAATCCCACTTGACCATACCCAGAATCGATCCCAGGCCGCTGGAGTGGGAAGCCAGCGACTAATCCATATCATGTTAGTCAGCTGTTTATTCTGCAATGCATTTATGTACTGATTATATCTAAAGAAATATATGCAATTTCAGTGGTGAAAACAAGGAACAACAGTATTTGTGAATGTTAGCACTTTCTCCACAGGCAACGTAAAGGCACTGTTCAGGAGAGCAAAGGCACACATGGGGGCATGGAACCCTCAAGAAGCACGGGAGGATTTCATGCGAGTTATGGAACTTGACCGTTCACTACTGGCTACTGTCCAGAAGGAACTGAAACAACTTGAGGAAATGGAAAAGAAACAGGACGAAGATGACAGATCAAAACTGAAGGGAAAAATGTTTTGAGCACCACTGTACCATCACTGAAGCCATCAATACCACATGTAACTGTTTCTTTGTTGATTTGTAAATAAATTTTAATAGAGAGGAGAGTGTAAAGTATGATGAAATATTTATTGTGTGTTACTGGAGATATATATATATAATTTTTGTTGTGCCCACTGCTGTCACTGTGAACTGTGCATCAGATTTGTTGGTATGAAATAAATATAACACTGAAGACAGAGTTAACAGTTAACATTTAAAATTACCTTTGGTAAAATACATTATTATGAATATAAATGAAAAATATAATAAAGTTTTTGGTTATTTTTACAATTTGGACAATTACCTTTTAAAATGTATATACTTACCATTCACATAGTGCCACTCAGAATGGCATTTCATACAAAAATACTCCACCTCTGTGGAGATATCCTGAGTCGCTCACCAACAGCTGCAGTAGAATGGGTCTGACATCTGTGATAAATCACTTCACACGTTCATTTTTGTCACTTACAGCTTCAAGTCACACATTCTTGTACACTCGTTACTGAACTGTAAAAATAATTTTGTCCTAGTTGTTAATTGTGGCTTCTAACCTGGCAGAAGGACCTTACATTACCTTCACTTCCTCATGAGGGATCTCACTTTATTGACACATCTATCCATGAAATTGCGCTTTCGTTTTGGTTCACCTGTACTAGGCAGTGGGAGTGAAAGATGCGAGCCCTTACTAATCCTTGTCCTTGCTTCATCACTTGAACTTGTTGACACTGTGTCCAAGTCCAAGTTGGTAGGGCAGGTTTGGGCCTCATTATCAGGGACATCACCTTCTCTTTGTTCTGTATTAGAATCTAATTCTTGGGCACTCAGATACTGTTCGCACTCTCTCAGCAACTGTTTCTCCTTCTCATTATGGCATGGTGGTTCTGGTGTGGGGTCATCCAAGAGACCATCGAGGCTACGGGATCTCATGGAGAGTTGTCGCGTAGGCAAATGCTGAGATGGAGGCACTCCAGAGCAACGACGGTTACGAGCTGACGGGCTGTGGTTGGCTGGGTACTGAGCCAAAGAACGGAGCCGACTTTGTGGGCTAGTGGGTGGACGTCGACTAGAACTGTGCAGGACATGGCCTGGACTTCCCATCAGCCATGGGCGGGACGGACTTGAAGATTTTCGCAGCCTATATCAGTCACATTTAATCATTAGCCGTTTTGTTTTTATGGGGGATGTTTCCATCCCAAGACTATACTAAGCATCACGATTAAACTATTTCTGTCGTTAGTTCATTCTGTATCAGGCACGTGCAGTTCAAAGTGGTTATCAAAGTTAAGGAATATTTTTCTGCTATTTTGTTTCTACATAAGGCCATATGCTTGGTACCACAGAAGCTGACAGTTATAAAAAAAAAAGGCACAACACAATGAGTCAGTAAAGCTTCGACCGTTGATCACAGGAATGTTAGCAGCCATGCAAAGAGATCTAGAAAACGTGAGTAATGTAAAGAAACTGGATCTCAAAGTTTAAGAATTAATGAATGTCAGGTGAACTTGTCTGTCTCAAGGCACACTAATCTTGCACGTTTTTATTTAGTCCCACAGAGGAACTTTTTTAAAAGGTAGAACATATTTCTGGCAGCTTTCAAGAAGCTCTCAACATAAATTCACCTGTTATAGAAATGTTGTAATTTAACACTAACTTCCACAGTCCCATGTTAGTCACATCTTGCTGGTTAGTGTTTCTCTATTCAGAATATTGTATGCCCACAGCCAGCAGCAGTTAGCAACGGAACGTGTTCTGTTACAACAAAAGGGCTACATCCTCACACACACACTCACTGACCTGGAGTGTATGGCCGAGGAGGCGGGGCCATCTAGTCAATCCCTCCCCCCTCCTGAGTTGCCATTGACATCCTTGTCACTACCCTTCCCACTCTCATTGCTGTGCATACGTTGGTAACTGGGTGGCTGGCGACCCAGAGTATTGCCAGATGGGGTTCCGGGTGTTGCATCACCCTTGTTTAGTGCTACACGTCCTAACAGGCCATCGGACCGCACATTTAGCTCCCCGCGCATAAACCTCTCCAGCTTGTCCACACAAGCATCCTGGTAATCATGGATCCATCTGTAACAAGACAAATTATGAATAGCAGGTGATAACCTGCACAAACAGAAACACTGACAAATTATAGCAGCGGTGACTGACTGCCTAAGTGTAACACTTTTAAATAATTAATATACCCTCTCACACAGGAGCCACTGAATATTCTTCTGTGAAGGTCTTACATTAGCATTTAAACATTTTCTGATACACTGAGGTTACACAAAGAAATCCCATGGATCAACCCACCTTCACATCTCAAAGATGCTTCTCCATCTTCCGTCCCTCCAGTCATCTTGCCATTTTGTTCCCAATTAATATCATTAGTGGAAGATAATCTTCACTGGAGAAAATTACATAATGAGGGACTCCATAACTTGCATTTCTCACCAGTTATTATTAGAATTATGAGATGAAGGAGGACAAGATGGACAAAGCAGTACACATGAGGACTGCATAAAAAGAGAACACTAGGAAGACCTAGATATAGATGGAAGGATATTATTAGGATCTTAGAGAACTACAATGGGGGGTGTTCGCTGTTTTTATGTGGCTCAGAATAAAGATTAGTTTTTGGCTTTTATGAACACAGTGCTGGAATTATATTGAGTCATTGAGCAATTGTTGCCTGCTCAAAAACTTAGCTCCACAGAATGAATTAGGTTATCTTTGCTCATGAAAAAAAGCTTCAGTGTGGCTGTCATATACCTCAGGAGCATGGAGGCGAATAAAACCAGAGGCACAGATAGGAAACCTTAAATGCCATCATCCTGCCATCCATGGGACTTCTTTCTGTGACCTAAGTATAGGTCATATGTATGCCTGATGTTAAATTGCATGGTAATTGTTAACATGCCAAGACAGTACAGTGAGCCTGAAAGGACAAGCGTACTGTGCCTGTTATCAGGCCTATGGGGGAGAAGTAGGTATGTCAAGACCAAAAACAAAGTTAAATGTTGATGTGCATGAAATACTTATGGTATACCTGACACCATTGAAGTGGCAAACAGCGCGCATGTCTTCAGGAAGTTCCTCAGGTTCTGGCCACTGGAAGTTGTCTATGATGGGAATGATGTTGCAGTTTGACTGTAGAGCTGCCACAATCTCCTGCATTCAAAGGAATGAGTGACCATAATTCACTGAGCAGAAATCATGTGCTACTGTTAAAATTCTTCAATTATTCCCTAGTTCTGCTACATGGAAATTGTAACTAGCATATAGTCTAGAAGCCTGAAACTCATGTAACCGGTTAATGCTGTTTAAACATCATACAAAACAGATAAATACACTCCTTGGGTATAATACAAAATGTGTTTTAAAGGTAAAGCAGGTGGTACATATAGTGTGACTTTAAAGGATTAAAACTATAAAGTAATTGAAGCTTTGTCCTTACCCTGTGAACCCAGTCTTTGCACTCCACATCACCAATGCAGCGATCCAGAGCATTTGGAGTCAGCACCAGAAGGAAGTGTCGTGCCTGTCTGATACTCTGCAGAAGGTTGTTATCAAATTTGCCAGCTTCCAACCGCTCCACATCAATGAACACAGAGAATGTCCTCAGGTGCAGATGGACTTTCAGCAAACTATGCATAAGAAACGGTCTTCAGCAATTAATATATCTACGAGGAATATATATTAAAGATCTGTAAGCATGAGGTCATTGTCATTACACAATTTTAGGTTATCACATCAACAAATTGTCAAGCATTAACATAAATTATGTAGTACGTCATGAATAAGCAAGCAATCTTCGTTTCAGTGTATTCTGTCTGTCCCACTCTTTGCAGTGTTATTAGTGGGAGATATCAGCCTCAGTACATAATTCAGTAACATGTAGGGCTAGAAACAAATACTGGAGAAAGCAGGGAAAGTTAATAGTATGAATACTTACGTAAGAAATGATCCTTCCTTCTGAATTCTCAACGTGCGTTAACATTACTTGCATAATGAAATATTTCTTTAATATTTTGCAACATTTCTGCATTCTTCAAGGGAGGACTCTTTTTCACTGACTGGTCAGAGTATTTCATGAAATACTACACATGATTACCATATTCACACTACTGAACTGCAATTGCGATGGTGAAGCTGGATACTTGATGGTTATTACATTATAAAATACATGGTACAAAATACAATGAACTATTAACATATTATAAAAATGGGTGTTGTGGCATAAAATAAGGTAAAAAACTCTTCATGTAATATTCCATATCAAGTCAGATGCTGCAATTTTGTTGTATTCCTGTGGACATAATGGTATATTCTATACGTGTATATATGTAATAAACTGCTTGGAGGGCCGTGGTATAGATGTAATGTAGTTTTGACATTAACTGCTTAGCCAGTGCCTCATCTTACGATGTATTTTGTCCGTTCAGTAGGGAATACAGATTGCAACTAGTAACGAATGCGGTACCAAAAAAGTGTGAAGAATGAATAGGAAATTTTATTCAGAAACTCTGGAGAGACAGATCACCTCAGAGATTTAGCTGTAGATCGATAACATTAAGACTGTCCTAAGGAACCCTGGTGTGAGGTTGTATGCTGTATTTAAATGGTTCAGCACAGGGTTCAGTGGCAGGACCTTACAAATGGTATACAATTTCATTATTAGCTTTGTAGCGTGAACACACCTTGCTAGCTGGGACCCATTTGATCTTCTATAGCTGACAAACACATCTAATGATTTATCTAAGCTCTTCTCGCTGGAATTTAGAAGTCCGTTCTCCAAATCTGAAACAAGATGTACAAGAATAATGAGTTCAGTTATTTTTCAATAAAACTGCTGTTATCTGGAGAGCATGTGTTAATGCATTAACATAACACATTAAGCACATACTTTTTATGGAGTCTAATATCCTGAGTCGATGAATGCTATTAGAAATCCCACACTCATTTGTCAGCTGATCTTCAGATAGATTTCGGATTGAGTCCTTGTCTACACCAGCATTCAACATGGAGTATGTGTAAATGGAGAATTCTGCACCAAGACCCAGCAGGAACGAGTTCAAATTGCCAGTATCTCGACTGCTGTAATCAGCCATCTTCTTCAGGTTCTGCAACTCCCTGGTAAACCTGGCGGTAAAAAAAAAAAGTAACCTTTTGTATCCATAGATTCCAGAGTAACGGGAACTACAACTATGTTCCATGTATAAAACCCCAATCTAGAAGTTCATGCACCTACAGACCACCTTACAAATGTATATGTGCAAGGCTACCTTCGTCGGCGAATTCCATTTGTAATACCGATGTCATCCTTCAGATTCCCCTCAGTGAGCTGAAGCAGCAGATCTCCATCCACACGGCTGTCCACAAAGTTACCAGCATATTCAGCAAATCCAATCTGCAGGAAGGAACAGACTTGTTAATTCATTCTACATTTTCATATACACAAATTGTAAAACTAACATGAAGAGTTAAACAGTTCTGTCTAGTGTGACTGGTGAAGATTTTTATTTCAATTATTTATGCCCTTACATATTTCAGTCTTCAGAGACCACCATCAGAGGGACACCTTTACATCAATACATTTGGAAGCTACTATTGCAATATATGTTCTGAAAGTTAAATGTATACATATAATATTAATAATATACAACTGGATATAAAATCTAAAGTCTTTACAACTACAGCGGCTGTTCCAATACATTAAAATATATATAATTGGTTTGTTAAGGCTCTATTGGAATTTGTAAATCAAGCAGGTTCATGTTGTCCTTTTTATTATTTCTTTTGATGGGAGCAGAACATGTGCCGCCTTGTTCTCAAGAAGAGGGTTCTTTGATGTTGTCCTGTATGTGTTTGTGGCACGCTGTGTTGTTTTAAATATTTTAATGTATTGGAACAGTCGCTGTAGTTGTAAAGACTTTAGATTTTATACCCAATTGTATATTAATAATATTATATTAATACATTTTAACTTTTAGAACGTGTATTGTAATAGTGGCCTCTAACTTTATTGATGTAAAGGTGTCCCTCTGATGATGGTCTCTGACGATCGAAACATGTAAGGGCATAAATAAATGAAATAAGAAAAATCTTCACCAGTCACACTAGACGGAACTGTTTAACTTTTCATGATATTATTAGTGTGACAAACCAGAATGAAACAAATCAAATTGTAAAACCAAGTTTTACATTTATAGAATTCGTACCTGTTTAACCCATTCTCGAACATCTTCAGTGGACCAGAGAGGCACTTGCTGACTCAGTTTGTGCGGAACTTCCTCCCCTATAAGCCGAAGGGCTTGAGCCGCATACTTGGAAGCAACTGCATTGGGACAACTAGCCACTTTCTTGAGAGGTTCAATAGCTCCAATTTCACCAAAGATGTCAGTCTTTCCCTGCTGTTTCTTGATTCCTGCTTCCATGCAGAAGTGGAATGCAGCAAGATTACGAGCTTCCTCTCTCTTAGAACTCAAAACTGGGACAAGTCTCTGTAGCCAGTTCTTGCTCTGCCCATGCGCATGGGCAAGATTTGATTTGGCAAAGTCCGATGGATTATGTGAAGTGACAAAAGGCTCCACCAGATCCAGTGTCCCTGACTTCAGGACAGCTGCCTCAATCTCTTTATTCGCTACCAGAACAGCAATGGCCAGACAGGCATAATACTTGATGTTATCATCATCATGGAACGCCAGGGGGAACAGCCACATGGGAACCTTCCGTTTGATCATTGCTTCTTGGTTCTCTGCCCCCCCATACAGGGACAGATTAGCTAGGGCACCTGCACAGTGGCGGAGTGTCTCTATGTCATTCTTTCTGCATTCAAACAGGACAGAATCTAGACCACCTAAACGCACTACATCACTACATGTCCCTTCACTATGCTTGAAGAGATGCTCTAGGATTCCAGTTCCTGTGCGCGAGTGATCTGCTGAGTTAGCACCCTTCGTACAAAAGCAAGCCACTTTCACAACTGTGTCCAGCCCATTTTTCACAACATGTGCACGATTTTCAGTAGTGAGACACTGTTCCAGGAGCCGAGCACTTGAAAACTGGAGCTCCCGATCTTCATTAAGACAGTTGATCATGAGGAGATCAAGTCCCCCCAATGTGCGCAAGGCATTGCACAAGGAGTAACCTAAAGTATGACCATGTGTAGGGACAGCCCAGGCTTTGCGCATCATCTCATTCATGCAATTCAATATCTGTGGGACTCTTGTAGGTTTCACCTCAGACCCACTGCCACTACGCTTCAAGGTCTTTATAAACAAGTCTAGGCATTCCGAGTATTTGTGGATGGCACGGTCCACTTCTTGTGGGTTGGAATTTGCAGAGAGTCGTTCCAAATCTTCGAAACTCTGGTTGAGTAGATCATCCTCAGATGATTTTATGGCCCCATTCATCAGCTGACTCATCTAAAACAAGTCAAGTGTTCAAATTATTGCAGGCAGCATTTACACATACTTATATCATTAAATTCTAGTCCTAAAAGTAAAACTGCCAGGGCAAGCCTGCATGCAGTTTCAGTTTGGGGGGGGGGATAGGTATAAATGTTGTGAAGCCATTACCATACAGCAGCTTTAAGTGCAGAACTGAATGGCAGACAGCTCATGAAATGAACATAGCCACTGATCCAGAGGTCCAAAAGAAGACTGATGTATGTAGGGTTTGAGGTTCTCACAGCAGTGGTTATGAAGAGTGCTAACTTCTCAGATATAACGCCATGTGGTTTCTTAAGACGTCCACAAATGTTTCAGAGGAATATATCACCTCTGTCTTCAGAGTCAAAGAGATATCTTGCTTGGCTTACTCTTTGATCCTGAAGATAGGAAATATGTTCCTCTTAAATGCTGGTCTTTCTCTGAACTACGAGTACATGGCATTACAACCTGAATGACGATACCCCAGACTGCCACTGCTCAACCACAGCCCTGCTTATTATGACATGATTGGGAAGCATCAGTAACCTGAAGCACGAGTAAAAACAAAATACAGAGCAAATTGAAGTGACAAATGTAAAGTAGCAAAGAGCTGCGAACCTGTGAGGCTGCTGATATCGTGGATGATTTTGTGCACATGCCCTTAGCTGTGATGGTGATATTGGACTGCGTAGATGCTGCCACGTGTTTCTCATGGTTGAAGATGCCTGATGAAGTAACAGTCTGTCGCTGCTGTTGAGCTGCCATTGCTTTCTGTATTTAAACATAAAAAATCTTTACTTCATGTGTATTAACACCTGTTTCGCTAATAGCATAGGGCTTCACATTGTCAGGCAATGAACACTGAGATTATGCATGCCAGAGGCACATGGAAGGGACAGGCATGACCTCTCTCTCCCCCCTCTCCAGAGTTTTGAAAAAAATAAATCAAAACTCAAGGGCAAACACCACACATCAATACAAAAATTCAAATTATTTTAAAATGAGGCACCATCTGTTTTGTAGTGCAACAATTTATTGTTTGGTAGACAGGTACCAATCAATACTTTGGATGAACTTGCTGCCTGAACTCTCGTATGTACCTACAAAATTACAAGGCATCATAACCCAGAAGTCGGTAGTCTTCCATAATAATAGAGCACAATGATCAGGGTTTAATGTCATGTAGGTTGGGAGAAGTCCAGAAATTTCAGTGGACTTCAGTCCCCTCAGATGTGACACCGTGTAGTCTGGAAGATGGATATCAGCATTTACAATGAACCTGCTCCCTCCACGCTGGTACCTACCTACCCATAACAGCTCATTCCAGAAATGTTAAGATATGCAACAGCCTTACCCTTTCAGCTGTAAATGTTTCTGTCTGCAGCTTCATACTGGACGCTGACATGTTTTGGGTCTCCTGCTGTGTTATTTCCCCTGCCTTCAGCGACCTCTGCTCCTGCACAAATGGACAACAGACAAGTTAACACCAGTGACTGGTCTTACCTCACTGATTAGCACACTCAAGTCCTGTTTTCCTCTCTCATTAGCATGTTCTCATATCATCGTAACATGACAGACACTGGAATGTACGTCTCTGTTAAGGGCAGGGCTGGATATGGGGACAGGCACTATTTACTTGGCTACAAAGCTTCTCTTTTGAAGCTATTTCCAGTACATAAAGCGATTCCCAACAGTGAAACAAGACGAAACAAAGTAATGACAGGAAACAGATGCACTCTAATTCCCATTATGACGTATGTCCATCATTTCCCAGGCATTTTAATGGTGCCTAAGCACACATTCTACTTCTGAAAAGCCATGATCACCCACTGGTTACAAGAAGACAGTTACGTGAATAACGTAAATTTAATCTTGGTGAAATAAGACGTGAGGGCGAAGATTGGATTTAACTGGCTCAACAGCATGTCCAGTTGTGGAATCTTATGAAAACGACAATGAACTGTTCTACTTCATAACAACTGAGCCAATATGTTAAGAGAGGCTGAATGTCAGAGAGTGGACTGGACTTAAACTATTTGGGGCAGACACTCTTGTGGAAAGGGTAATTAACCTTCATGTTCCTTCCATAATATGTGGATATTAGACATGTTTCTCAAGAAAGACTCTGCTCCACGCAGGGAATTAGTAATCTGGATTCGAATCATAGCACAAGCTCAGGTCGACTTTCGCTGCGACAATGTGTCACGTGAATGTCGAAACAGTGACTCACCAATAAATCCCCGTGTCGCTTGGTTTTGTTTCTCCCTCTTTCCCACCAGATGGTATTACGATAGAGCCCTCGACGCACAGGCCATGGTGCGCCTTGCCCGGACATCTTCCTCTGTCTGCTCCGTGCAACATGGCCGACCAAGTTATATTTACTCTTGAAGATAGCACTAGCGTTCTTCCGTTATCCCTTACCTGGCCCAGTGCCCATCCCTTCACCCCTGCCATTTAATAACGCAAAACAGAAACCGCCACAACCATGTCAAAGTGGGCTTATTAGCTCCTTTGATGGGTAAACTTGATGGGACAGAAAGCTTGATTTCTCTTTTCTATATCCCAAATTAAATAAAGCTCTGACACTGCTGGTCCCATGTCCAATATCAACCAGCCATGCCAAACTCATCCGGCCTTACATGTCTACGTGCCAATTGTATCTACGTCTATGTGCCCATTTTACAACACAAAAAAAAACACAAAAACTGCCTGTTTCACTGAGTGATGACGTACGTTCGGGTGTCATTAACAGAATACATTATATCCGCACAGAAGCGTGAGATGCGAGTTTATATCAGCGGTGACTAGGAAGAATACTACTTTCTGGAAAGTGACGCCACATACTCCGGTAGAAGTTGACCAACATATTGCCTTCATCTTTAAGTTCGACGAGTCAATTAATAACGTAATTCGCTTCGCATTAAGCTCTGCTTACTTCTTGCTGGTTGCTTGCTTGGCTTACTCTTAGATCCTGAGGCTGGATGCAGTACACTCCTCTGAAACATTAGTGAATTTCCACCGAATTATACGATGTAATACCCCTGGAGATAGTAATCGCCAGTGACCGCTGTGAGCAGTTCATATCCAAAACAGAAGAAAAAATAACTTTGCTGAATTTCCGAGAATATCCTATAAGATAAGGCCCACTACGCTTCGGCAAACTACAATTCCTTACTTTTCGGATACTTCAAACTACTTCCATTTAAATGCACTTTCCGTTTCTCTGCGCGACAGGTAAAAAAGGCATTTACGACGACCTGGAACACCCAACAAAAGCAATACACGCGAACCGACGTGGGAAAAATCTGACTGCCACACTGTAGCGGAGACGTAATTTGTTTCCTGTGTTCCCTGAACTCTGCACCCTGCCCCTACAGCGTATTTGTATGTTCCGCATGGTTCTCACAATAAACAGCGACTGTTTCCCTAAACAGTATTAACCGGTTGGGCTTTGTAGCTGAGACGTAATGTGTTTCCTGTGAGGTACGGACTGAAGTCTGCATTCTGCCCACGCAGTGTATTTATGTGTTCCGTATGGTTCTCACAACAAACAGCGATTATTTCCCTAAACAGCATTAACCGGCTATCCTTGTCAATGAAGATAATTAGGTTTTCTGCGAAGCAAGATTTCATTCGTTACAAATTACTCGTAGAACGACGGGGCAATGGAGCGTCCGTTGGCAGAGTTTATACACATCAGGAAGTGACCCACACATTCGGGACGTGTAATTATGAGCACAACTCCACAGAGCAGAGTTCTTCTTGAGAAGCGGACGGTCACTCAGTTACTCATGAAATCCCCAGGCTTTCTTGATACCAGAAGTTCATTACCGTGTTCATAAGATTCCGCCACTGCACCCCATCCTGACACAAACGAATCCTATCCCTTATTTCTCAACTTATTTCTTGACGTCTATCAGTTCACACGTCTTGCAAATAGTCTTTCCTCGAGATCTTCCAACCGAAACTTTCAATGCATTTCCTAATCTCTGTCATGCGTGCTTATTTTGACCTGATCACCACAAACATATCTTCCGCGAAACTACTCATCATGCAATTCTTTCCTTATACATTTGCCATTTCCTCTATCTTGGGCCCCAGACCTCCCACAGAACCATGTCAGTGGAGATACCTTGAGCCATGAGCTGGACGAGGCGTAACGTGGATGCAGCAACTTGTCCCTTACAGCTCTAACAGTTGCCGTGGCCAGCCCTGATGTAACCTTCACAAGAAAGTGACCCATCCGACGCATGTAGCCCGACGCCCCCACTTCTTCCCCCCCCCCCTGGGATATTTAACGACGGCTCAGTATTGCTGACAATACACCCAAGCAACTACAGTGGGATATCCCTTTTTTCCAGACACTGTCATCAAGACGGCTTGCGAGACCGGGACATCTTCTGTTGCAAAACTTTGCTACATTTGCTTGTTCTACGGCAAAACCGAAAAGCAGTTACAACTTCCTAGATCTCTTCAATGGCATCACTCGTCTTGATGTTTTATTTCGGTCAGTTCAGAATTCGCAACAGGCACCAGCGAGGCTCAGGTCACAGCACAAAAGATACGCGAACACCACACCAACAACCCAAACCTAATTTCGCAATCTGTCCGGGGTTATCAAGCACAGTCATACTATAATTATTCAACCAGCGATATACTGCAATATGACACCATTAAACTAAATGTGCGGTCCAGTTGGATGCCATGACGGCACTGGCGGCACCGCGACGCCCAGTAATCGAAACACCCGAGAACGTGACGTCTTTCTATCGATTAACCCACCAGGGAAAGACGCTAACGTCCTACTGCCTTCTTGTCGCGTCTTTCAATTTAATTTTACCTTGGCCCATATACATGGCCGCCATTACCTTACGCCCACGGGGTGCATAAACCGTGCAGCCATGATCTGCCAGGATACGAACATCAAAACACAACAAAACTGTAAGAATACACAGTCTACACTTTACAGCTGCGTCTGCTAACATCCATGCTCAAGTATTTATTGTGATAAGCTCAAACATTTGAAGAATTTGTTCAGAACTTGTAAACTATTCACGCTCTTACGTATGTTCATGGGGCATAACTTTTACGATGCTGTCAGAGTCCAATCTACATCGCGTCGAATCGTAGGATGACTGACGAGTGCGTGAGGATTTTGCAGGAAAAGACAGAGACTTAATCAATTTCCTCGCCCAAAAACTTTCCTGGAGGGACTGAAGACAACTACGATAAAACTCGTCAGTGTAACCGGTGTTGCGGTCAAGATAAGAACCAGTCACCTCCGAAATACATGTCTAGAGTGTTACTGTTCGCCTGGTTTCCCGGATAACATTATGATTCATTAGTAATTATTTATTTCTAAATTCCTATATCCCATTATAAGTCTTAATTATGAGTTCGAGATCCCATGCCTTAAATCTTTTTTTTTATTGCTAGTGGGGTGGGACTAAGTCCCTTGTACTGCGGCCACTTCTGGCCTATTGTACCAGCCTCAGATGATAGGTGAGGGTGATTGTGGAGCAATTTGTGGAATGAAGATTGGCAGGGGAAACAGAAGTACTCGGAGAAAACCTGCCCCAGCGCCACTTTGTCCGCCAAAAATCCCACCCGGCCAAACACGGAATCGAACCCGGGCCGAACTAAAGCTTCATATGTTAGTTAGATGTGTTTTGCTCTTTAACCTGTTCCGATACTTGTAATCGGAAATTTATCGTCACATACAAGAGAGTTCCACATTATTCATTAAGACTGGGGAATTTCCTACATGTAAGTGAATGTGCTCTGAACCATTTTCGCAGAATCTGTTCGAATGTCATAAATAACCGTCGTTTTTATTACAAACTGATAATGGAATGTGTGAAGTCATGTTTCGGTATGTTGGGCTGAAGTGCTGGGATTTTCTGGCACACTATCATTCTCAGATTGCATTATCAGTATCAAGTTTATCAGACTGGGCCACCTTACCACATGCCTTTCTAACTGCAACAGTCTTATACGATGACTGCGAAACATACAACTGCCTGTCAACACGCCGGTATAGTCACTTTGAAATAGGCTACGACCGCCTCCTTCCAAATCATCATTTAGTCAACGTTTAGACCCACTTCCCATGTTTTTTTAATTATTATTTACGGTTTATTTAACAAATCTTTCTCCCTGCTGGAGGGACGCGTCCCGCTAGTGAACTTGAGCATCAGCTGCGTGGGCGGTGGCCTCCCGCAAAATAAATCCGGTCACTTCGCTGTAAGATCCTCATTAAAGTGCTTTATAAGCTGCTTCTGTGCAAGTCATTTACTGATGCAACGTGTTAAATTTTCGACACAGTGTTGCTATGGTAGCCCGACAATGGGCAATGATAATAATAAACCTAACTCTACGAAAACTTTTCACACACATATATTATGGAAGGAAATTATTAAAACATATTACCAAAAACCTTGCAATATTTCAGCTGCAACTCTGAGCAACAAACCTGGCAAAGCTTCCCAAAAGAAAAGTGCAAACTTCTTCAAGATGCAACAGAGCAAAAACTTGAGTGCTCTCTATTGGGAAGCAAGAAGCAAAATGGGGTAAATGATCCCAAATGCAGCCATTGGAAACCAACCAACTTTCATTAATAATAAAAATTAAAAAAGTAAAGCTATTCCTGTACCAGGCCGTGAAGGCCCATAGGGTTGTGAGACGTTGAGAGTCCCACATTATCTAGACAATCGGCTCACAAATGTCGGTAATGTTGTCAGCCTTACGCACCGGCCGCGCTTTACTCCTCAGGAAAATTATTTAATTAATTCCTGGTACTCACTTCTGTTAGAGGCTGAGTCGACCCCAGGGCTATAGTGCGGCTGGAAGGATCAGATCAATTGAAAAGATCCAATAACCTCATCGGGACTTGAACCAGCGACCTTCCGGCTTGTAGCATAGCCCCTCAACCAACTACGCTACCGAACTTCCATTATTAATATACAGCTAAAATGTAAAAACAATAAAAAACAAACTCCGTGGCCTGTAGTCCGCAAGCGAACTATACCGACCGAACGACTGCCGCTTGTCGGCGAAGTTAGTGCCAACTTTTGCGAATAGAGGGTGTCGCGTGGTCGGCGCAATGGATCCCGACGGCCGTTAATCTCGGTTTTTCTAGATCGAAGCCGCTATTTCCTTGAAATAGCTCCTCAATTATCTTCACGAGGCTGAGTGGACCCCGTTCCAGGCCCACTACTTCTCAGAAAATCTAGTAGCGCCGGGAATCGAATCCGGGACCTCTGGATCTGTAGCCAGAAACTTAGAACATAGAGGCAATCACTAAAATGTACATAACTGTAAAAATACGCTTCTTGCAAGAAGGGAAACTTTTACTGTGATGGAACTTGGTGCTTTGTAAAACTGACGCAAAACTCGATCTCTTGAAGATCAGTTGCGAATGGCTAAAGATACACAAGGAAGCGGCCCCATGTACTAACTGGACATGTGCCTGAAGGAACTGAGGAAAACCATTATATATTCTCAGTCAGGATACTCGTTCTCAGGACTGAAATTTGAACTCGGGACCTCCCGAATTCACAGCGCCACCATCGTTCCCACAGGCTCACCTGCTTCAGTGCCATGGACTTCTCCGCCGAGACGCCGTCCATCTCCAGCCTCGCCCTGACGGCAGCTGCTGCCGACTGCTCCTGGTAACTGACCTCCCCCGTCTGCACCCGCTTCATCTCCGTCGAATTGGCCATCGCCTGTTCAGAGCTAAACCCGTCCGTCACAACTTTCGTTTTGGACGCTGACGTCACACGCTTCTGTTCGAACTTAACAGTTTCTGACGAACTTGCCGCGCTAGCTGTCGAGATGGAGTTGTGAGCAACCCCAGGGGGCATGCTGCTCACCACCAGGTTAGGGCTTGTCAAACACACGGTACCGGTTACCGGGGGTGGAGACGGAGTATCGGGGTCAGGAAATGTCACCAGCGGTTCAGGACTTGTAGCGTCACTGACACAACCTACACCACCACCATCAACACGGTCCAGTTCCTCCATTGAACTGCGTAAGCGACTGAAATTCATTGGACTTGACAAGTTCTTCATCTCCGAGATGCTGGACTTCAGTTCGGAGAGGTCTGATTTCATTGACGACGCTTTCATCTCGCTGGAGGACGTCATGTGGTGCACCCTTTGTGACGACGAGGACGACGACGTGGAACAAGACGATTTGGCGACGCGGGAACTAGAGGTGGAGGACGTAGTGTTGGCCTGCAGCATCTGAGAACAAAAAAACATTTCTGTATTTATAAGTGCCAAGCCACCTTCAGATGATCTGGCCTCGTCCCAACAGCAACAGGCTACACAAATAACACCGTCTTTGTTGCTTGCCACCTGTGGTCCTTGAGCGAGCAACAGAACGAAAATGGAATCTTCCTCTCAGCCGTATACATCCGACCGACTCCACATACCAGCGTTTATTCTTTGGACGCTGACAGCATCTCAGCTACTGCACAACTCCTCCTACATTCTATGGAACCTAAAGGTTCAATACCGTGTACACAACAGCCTGACACTGATCCCTATTTAGTCGGCCTGTCTTCCAATCGGTCTCTTCACGTTTTTCAGAATTAAATTTAGCACGTATTTCTCGTCTCCCCCACACGTGCTCTATGTCCTCCCCATGTCGCCTTGCGTGAACTGATGACCATAAGTATTCCTGGCATGAAGCTCGTCACTTAGTTTCTCTGCGTACCTCATGGTCGAGTTGCAAGCACCGGGGTCAAATCTGAGCCCCGAGACCGGCTGTCGTGAATGAGGGCCCCTCTAAATGATAGTATTTCATATAGTTGAACACTATATGATCGCACCTACTGAAAACCTCCGTATTTTCTACTGATCCTGATTTCTATTTCACGACGCTGTCGGCAGCAGTAATGAATAGGAAAGGTTTAACTTTATTCATTCTGGTCCGTCACACTAGTCAATACTATAGAATGAAATGATTACACCGTCCAGTGTGGTTCAGAAGTATGTGTGTGTGTGTGTGTGTGTGGGGGGGGGTGTATATAAAAAAGAAGGTAAAGCTATCCCTGTAACAGGCCGTGGAGGCCAATAGGGCTGTGAGATGCTGAGGTTCCCACATTTTTTACACAATCGGCTCACAGATGGCGGCAAGGTTGTCAGCCCTTCGTGTCGGCCGCCTTTTTTTTTCTGTGGCGCTACAGCCCCAATTTGGGCCTAGGCCTACCTCCATGAAACTCTCCGTTTCACTTCGGTTTACTAGATCTTACACATTCGGTAAGACTCCTTAGGCGAATGATCAGCTCGTCGCAAGGTCTCTACCTGTACACAAACACAGAAAAACGCACACAAACATCCATGCCCAGACTGGGATTCGAACCCACGATCCCGGCTTCTGAGCGAGCGAAGACAGTGCATGCCTTAGACCGCTCGGCTACCGTGACCGGCCGGCCGCCCTTTACCCCCAAGAATATTCCTGGTACTCATTTCTGTTAGAGGCTGAGTCGACCCCTGGGCCACACTGCGGCTGGAAGGATTAGGTCAACTGAAAAATCCAATGACCTCATTGGAACCGCGAGCTCCCGGCTTGTAGCATGCTGCCTTAACCAATTACGCTGTCGCGTGCCTTTACATGTTTCCGTCAATTATTGACCAGCTTCAGAAGGCAAATAACAACACGTTGAGGAAACCGCTATAGTGCCTCAACAAACAACGAAAGGACTAACAACTTCACAACAAAGACTCTTACAGGTGGAAAGAAAACTGCCTGGACCCCTAAGGACGGCAATTTTCCCCAATCTCCCGTCGACAGAGACCGCCTCTGTTGTCTAGCGATCTGAGTTCGTGGCTACAGATCCAGAGGTCTGGATTCGATTCCCGGTGCTACCAGATTTTCTGAGAAGTAGTGGGTCTGAAACGGGGTCCACTCAGCTTCGGGATGATAACTGAGGAGTTATTTCAGGCTAATACCGGCTCAGGTCTACAGCCCCGAAATCAACGGCTGTGGGGATTCGTTGCGCTGAACATGCAACAGCCTCTATCCGCTAAAGTTGGCACTAACTTCGCCGACAAGCGGCGGTCGCTCGGTCGGTATAGTTCGCTTGCGAACTAAAACCATGGAGTTTGTCTTTTTTTGTAGACAGAAGAGACACGGAGACACGAACCTTAGCAGTTTAAGATTTAAAATACTATTAAAGATTTTATCAATATTTTAACTCGCCACATTTTATCTTAATTAAAATTGTTATATAAAACTTTGGACAACTTTCAACTTGATATACTATTACTAATGTAATAGTGATTTCCTCAACGTGTTATTTGCATACTGAAGAGGGTCATTGTTTAACCGAAACATGTAAAGCCATCATATGCTTTTGAGTCACACTGCACGGTTTAGTCAAATCACTCTATAAAATAGGAAAGGGTTTGTCTAGAAGAGGTCGGGGCCTGATTTGAAGTACTGTTTCGATTCAATTAACCTAATCCTTCCAGCCTCACTATGGCCCTCGGGTCGACTCAGCCTCTTTAACAGAAATGAGTACCAGGAATATTCCTGGAATGTTCTTAGAGATAAAAGGCGGCCCGCGCGTAAGGCTCACAACCTTACCACCATCTGTGAGCCGACTGTCTAGAGAAAATGTGGGAGCCTCGTAGTCTCACAACCCTATGGGCCTTCACAGCCTGTTAGAGTGATATCTTTACTTTGTCTTTTTCATTTCGGTAATTGCCCGGAGATATCGCGTAAAAATAATTAAGTATCTCAAAGGGCAGATGGTGTTCCGGCCGAGATTCGAATCGGTCATCTCCCGGATGCGTCAGAAGCGTTATCGGCTGAGCTCTATAAAAAGCGTCGTTAAATAAACCATAAATATAAGACTTCCGCTACCAAGATTCCGGATTTAAATACGAAAACAAAAGGATAAAAAAGTACCTAAACTAAAAAAAAAAAATATACGTAATAGCTCATGTAACGAGCACAGTGTGTGACGTCCTCCCATGAAGTACTATGTATAGTCCCGTGACTCAGAACAAAGCATGTGGCCCCTACTTCCGTTCGTGTCGCCTCCGCAGTGCTCACCTGCAGCCCCCTCAACCCCCACCTCCTCCGCGACCTTGTTGCGGTCAGAATACCACCACAGATAAAACAGACTATAAATATCCCGCCTCGGGCTTCCTGGAACTGCGTATACCGTAAATCATCACAGCATTTGTCTCTTTACATTGGATTGGTCACCGAAACGCAAGATATGCTTCCCGTTGTCAAGTGTCCTGGTGATTCAGAGATCCTAGTTTCACCATCCGCTTCACTCACCTGTGCTGCGGACGTGCTGGTGACTTGGGGTCGCGAAACCATCGATGCATTCTTCTTCTGGAAGTTTTCCATCACCGCCGCCATATCCCCGTTCTCAGCACCCTCTACCGGGAAATCGGACATCTAGAACGAATGAAACCAAAACTTAACTTGGAGCCAGAAGTTTCGGTCAAACTTGAGTCTGTACCTCACAGGAAACACATTACGTCTCCACTACAAAGCCCAACCGGTTAATACTGTTTAGGGAAATAATCGCTCTTTATTGTGAGAACCATACGGAACACACAAATACACTGTGTGGGCAGAATGCAGAGTTCAGTCCGTACCTCACAGGAAACACATTACGTCTCCACTACAAAGCCCAACCGGTTAATGCTGTTTAGGGAAATAATCGCTGTTTATTGTGAGAACCATACGGAACACAAATACACTGTGTGGGCAGAGTGCAGAATTCAGTCCGTACCTCACAGGAAACATTGTCTCTGCTACAAAGCCCAACCGGTTAATGCTGTTTATTGTGAGAACCATACGGAACACATAAATACACTGTGGGCAGAATGCAGAGTTCAGTCCGTACCTCACAGGAAACACATTACATCTCCGCTACAAAGCTCAATCGGTTAATGCTGTTTAGGGAAACTGTCACTGTTTAATGTGGGAACCTTACGCAACACACAGACAGACATGTGGGTAAAACGGATGTTACAGTAGATGGTACCACTATACTTCAAAATAACCGAATGAAATTTGGTTCATGTCACTTAGTGGACGCTGTAGGCCTGTCTGCTGTCTGAGAACTTAATCCGTATTACAGTAAAACCTGTGAAACTTGTCACCCCCATTAATTCCACCTCCTGCTATAAGATGCCAACATTTTTAGGAAACAGGCAAAATGATATTAATTTTCACCTGACCGACCATCTTCCTCTTCGGCACGTATCTTTCTACTACGACCGCCGTCTTGCATATCCTGCTGTCCATCTGTATATACTTTTAACTTTTTTAGTTCAGTACCAAAGAATTACAGACTGTTTGTAGCAGTCTGTAAAAATGAATACATCTCCACGCATCTGTCCGTTGTACGTACCTACTCAACATCGTTTTTTTCTATTTATCTGCCATCGAAATATCTACAGCTATCAATCCATCTCGCTCTTCAATTTATCACAAAACTGCTGCATTTTCATTTCCACAATTTTATCCCTGTAAGAGGCTGTGCAGGCCCATAGGGTTATGAGGCGTCGAGGCTCCCACATTTTCTAGACAGACGGCCCACAGATGGCGGGAAGGTTGTCAGCCTTACGCCCTGGCCGGACGCCCTTTAGACCCAGAGAGATTCCTGGTACTCATTTCTGTTAGAGGTAGAGTCGACCCCAGGGCCATAGTGCGGCTGGAAGGATTAGGTCAATTGAAAAATCCAATGACCTCAGCGGGAATAGAACCCGCGACCTTCCGGCCTGCAGCATTGTGCGAACTACGCTATGGCGTGCCCATCATTAGAAATAGCAAACATAAATATTTGTTTCGCATTTATCTCAGACTCATTGGTCTGCCCCGGTGGTAACGGAGTCAGAAACAAAATAAACATCTTACAGACACTTAACATGGCGAGCTACAACAGCACAATGTCGGTCACTGCAGACACTACAGACTCAGGTAACAGGTGACCAAGGCCGCGCCATAGCTCAAGCGGTTAATCGCTGGCTTCCCACCGCGGCGACCTGCGTTCGATCCAGGGTCTGGTCAAGTGGAATTTGTGGTGGACAAACTGGCGCTGGGGCAGGTTTTTTCCGAGTACTTCGGTTTCCCTTGTCAATCATCATTCCACCAATTGCTTCACAATCACCCTCACCTATCATCTGGGACTGTTACAACAGGCCAGAATTGGCCACAGTACAAGGGACTTTGCCCCACCCCACTAGCAATAAAAAAAACAGGTGACCAACTGCTTAAGTTATCCGGCTTCTGTGGAACAGTTACGTGTTGATGCTGAGGGTCCAATCAACACAGCAAGCAGCTAAATGTCACGTTGGGTTCTCGCCCCTGTCAGTAGCTAGACTATGCAGTGTCGAAAGGAAGGATGACTGATGAACGGAACAGGATTTGGAAGGAAGCAATCGTGACGTAACCCAGGTACTCTCCCAGCATTTTCCTGCGGAGACTACGGAAAGCCACGAAACTGCTAAGTCATGACGCTGCAACCTCGTCAACCAGATATGTGGCAGATAAACAGAAAAGGTACATCAATTCTTGAAAACCTAACAGTTACTCAGCTACTCAATAAATTCCCAGACTTTCATGGCACACGAAGGTTCGTTACCCTGTTCACAACAGCCCCCCCCCACTTGACCGGTACACAAGTCGATGAATCCATTCCACACCTACTGCTTTAATACTGCCCTCCCATTTACACTTAGGAATTCCGAATGGTCTCTATCATTCAGGGTTTCCCACCCCACTGTTATAGTCGTCTCAGTTCCAGCCCGGTGAAGGCATGGTGTCGCTACTGACCGATTTGAGGAAGTCTTGCCGTGCCTTCTTCATGATAGGGAGGCTGTATCACGTTACACTCGTGTTGCTCACGTTGCTACAGTCAGGTAAGTTTTGTTTTATGCTCCTGTCTTCTTGGGTTATGACTCGGTGTAGTCTGGTATCTGCAACGTTTCGGAGGCTTCCATCCACAGGGTTTAATCCTGACTACAACCGGTGTCATAACCCAGACGACCACAATATGAAGAGTATTATGTTCCGGAATGGGCGCTGTTGAAAGTCAACCAACGTTTCGATAGAACGTATTGCCTCCACCTTCAGAGTTGAAGAGTTGAAGAGTAAAACCATACAGGTCACCAGTAACAAGCAAGTTCAAATCAGTGCGCTCTTCCAAAAAAAAGTCTACATTTATACAAGACTATACGGCGTCACATCCAAGAAGCCAGTACTCTTCACTGTAACCACCGTGAGGGGCTCGGATCCCACATGGTAAAATCTTAATCTCCATGATTATCTCAAAGCTTGCAACTTTCGCTTCCACCAATTCACCAAAGCCACATGGACCTTCACCGCAGCAGTCAGCTGACGCAGCTGTTGCCAGGACTCACTGAACACCGAAAACCAGGTACATCAGCTCCCGCCCTGTACACGCCATGACGACTCAGCACGAAACAGCCGCCACGAGATAAAAGCACACGGTACACAACGTGCGTCACTGCATGTGAATGATAAGCAAATTCCAATGTCATATCTTCCAACAGCACCGCTCAAAGCAATGGATCTGCGTCTTACAGACCCATAATCCTGGACGCTTTCCTTGGGCATGAACACGAGAATTTGTCACCTCTTTTGTACAAGGAAAACTGCTTGTCACATAGTGTATATTCCATCTGTTCCGCAACATCCTCATAGTTGGCGGCGTCTTCATCGGATTCCTGTTCAAAATTCCTTCAAACTATTCCTACTAGTTCATATTCGCAATCAACATTAACCCTTTACAGTATTGCGGTACTAGCGGTACATATACCACCTGGATTAACATTTAGAAATTCTACATTCTCCCCACACAGTGTATTTATGTGTTCCGTATGGTTCTCACAATAAACAGCGATTATTTCCCTAAACAGCATTAAACGGTTGGGCTTTGTAGCGGAGATGTAATGTGTTTCCTGTGAGGTACGAACTGAACTCTGCATTGTGCCCACACAGTGTATTTATGTGTTCCGTATGGTTCTCACAATAAACAGCGACTGTTTCCCTAAACAGCATTAACCGGTTGGGCTTTGTTGCGGAGACGTAATGTGTTTCCTGTGAGGTACGCACTGTTTTCTTGTGTGTTATTTAAGGCCAGGAGCAATTTACCCGATGTACGCACTGTAAACTTTAACAATAAAGCAATAAGCACACATGCTAGGGAAACGTTAGGGAATCGCCCGTCTGTTTTGCTTGCCGGACCGCTGGCTAGAAGTCAGTGCGTATCCGGAAGGTCCTGCGACCGGCCATCTCGACACAGGTTTTCTTGGTTTTCCTCTGTCTTGTAAGCAAATGCTGAGATGGTTCCCAAATTCCAAGTTGCTACTGCATGCTTCTCATGCAGCCCTCCCGATTTAAATTCATCAAAATTACGGTCCCTTGCTGTCAAAATTACCAAAATTATACACGTAAACTCAAAATTTTGAAATTAAAAGCTCCGCGGCCCCTCTCTCTCAACTCTCTCAAGTCGTTGCTTCTAATCATCTTAACGCCTACACTTTCACTTTACTCTTACCAGAAGGACGAGCGGGCAAAGCCTGGGAACCTTCTTAAATCGATGCTCTTTCTTTCTTTCTTCTTTCTCTTTCTCTCTCTCTCTACCCGAAACCGAAATTAGGTTTCATATAGGAAACCGTTGCGGCCTGAACTTCGCTTCGCCACACATCACACATTCTCTGGTTCACACGAAGTACGTTGAACAGACTGCTGATTATTCTCATGCCATCGGTACCAACCGGAAAGATAAACTTGCTTTATGACGTAACGACACAGCATGTATACCAAATGAATATGACGTCTTGGTGCAAAGTTAAAGGATGCGAACATACAACACAGAAAGGTTGAAGGCATAACGATTAAAATAAGAAAACTTTTATGCCAAAACGAAGTATAAGCTCATAATGTAACAACTCACCGGAAATAGTTTATATCCATAATGAACGTTGAACGGCAAAGCTTTCATGGCTATATGGCTAGCCGTGGCCATGCTTCCAGTTCACAAAACACTCGTCACAAAGCATACACTCCTATCCAGTTTCTTCTCCGTAGCTCCTCCAACAATAAAGTGTGGCACTAGCGTCGTCCACACGACGTTATGTACAAGGTCGCGAGCTCGGCGGACAAGATGGCGTGGATTGCTCATTGCACGACCGCAGTGGTGGGAGGAAGAATTCCTACCGAGTGGGCGGAGTTCCACTGGATAAACACTGCCTAAGCACATAGCACAAATGCGAAGAATACCGGGATATAAAGCTTAAAGGTTTCGAAACAAAATTGCGTCTTCAAAGAGGTTAAACGTTTACAGTTGCGAAATACTAGCACCAAAGTTGGACAGGCTAGCACAGCACATTCTCCCTCCTATTCACTCTCTCCCCATTACC